GTCGGTGCCCGCTTGCTGCCTCCCTGGAGCCGCTGCCCGGCTGGCAGGGCTCGACCCCCAGAGTCGCTCAGCGTTAGAGCAGCGGTCGGGACGCGACCTCTTTCCCCCTCCATCTCCTCCCTGCGCGGAGGAGCGGAGAGAAGAGCCCTGCGGCGGGGAGGGTCGGGAGGAGCCGGCCCGGGACCCGGGGGAAGGAGCCGAGGGATGGAGCCGCTGCCGCCTGTCCGGGAGCGCCTCCCCGCGGCCGCCGAGGGCGCGGCCGGGAGAGGGGAAGCCCCGCCGGAGAAGCCCCTGTCCATTTTCCACCGTGTTGAGCTGGCACGCCTGCCATGTAAAATTAGTTCCTCCTATGCCTACTGGAGCTGCTTAAATTTTGTAAGAGCCTGGAGCGGCAGTGGGTTTTTCCCAGTAAGTCAGAGTGGAAGATGCCATCCATGAGCATGGAATGAAAGCACCCTGAGCAGCGAAGAAAGGACAGTGGCAGATATGGTCAGGGAGATGGTTTCTGCCAGGGAATGTGAGATTTCAAAAATTTGTTCTTTATTTTGCTTTGTCAGAGTAGAACTGACTGAGTTCCAACTTTCAGGTCATTTCAAGAATGAGGCTAAAACCAGGAGGTGGTTAGTGTAGCAGCCTCTATCAATTTGTGGTCTGAAAATTGCATTTAAAATTATGTAAGCTTAGTTTGAAATGTGTTGACCTTCCTACAATAAGAAGGAAACCCCAGAGCAGAAGCTGCACCGAATAAACCAAGATAAAAACTGCCAGGTAACTGGACAGAACTTTTCTTTTGTCTAAGCTACACTGACATGTAAATTCATACTGGGATAGCCTGAAGAGAAACATATTCTAGCTCTGCTTTACTGCAAGCCTTTCCCTGAGCGTCTGAGATGCATTCAGCTGCAGGAAGGTAGGTTATAGCGACAAAATACTCGAAGGATATCCTGAGAATTTTGGTTGTTTTTGTCCCGTGAATGCAGAAAGATTTGATTTTGGAAGCGAGAAGTGAAAAGAACTGAAAATAGTTTTAACTTCATGGATATGCCTGGCAGCTGGAATGCCACCAACAAGGAGTCCTCACTGTTAACAGCTGGGTTTGGAAACTGGAGAAAGGATTTTAACAATTTCAGGTAGCTGGGGATCTCTCTCAGTTTCTAGGTTCCACCTTGTCTTCTGTGAAACAATTCATCCTAACTTATGAACTGACTCAAGAATTCTAATTACTGTAAGCCAACCCGAAATTTGTGTAGGAAAGGAGTGAAGGAAAAGAGAAGGCCAAGCAGCTTGGGGTTTGGAGGAAGACTGGAGAACAGCGTGGCAGAAAGGGTAACATGCTGAGGGTTTTTTTCTTGCAGTCAGCTTGTTGCCTTCTCAGGACTTTTCCTCCTTATCCTGGAGGCTGTATTCTCTCTCCCCTTCCCTCACCCTGCAAAGGTGTCTTTACAGCCATTTACATCCTCATCACCTGGTAAGAGAAGCCCTTGTGTTTCCCTCTTGTCAGCAACCTGTGCTGGGCCACAGCAACTGCTGACGTTGCCCATGCTTAGAGTTGGCTTCACTTAAACAGTAGACAGGGCATGAGTAAACAGAGCTTAAATGCACGGCTGAAAATGACAGTGCTGCCTAGTAGAACCTCTGGTCTGTAATGAGAATTACCATTATTATCAAGTTCCTCAGCTTGGACTTCTTCCAGATATACTGAAGTGTAGTTAGTTCATTCCCAGTGACAAGTGGTTCATTATAAATGAAGAAAATCTTGGCTACCAAGAATGCCTTTGTGAGTAATGAGCACTTGAGTATATAGTGTTTCAAATGGGAGGCTCCAAGGCATTTATTGAGGGTCCTGTGCTTTGACTGTTGGTGTCTTTTTCTTTTTAAAGAGTGGTAGAAGGAGGCCATAGTACTCCACCCATTTTCTTACAGAAAGTCTCTTTATGAAGAACAGAGAAAAAAAAGTAGACTTCCCTTTAAAGTTAGTTATGAGTCCAGCTAGGAAGACTTCAGCCATTACAGTGGAATGACATCAACTCACGCACATCTGAGACTTTCTATAGGAACTAGCAGTTAGTTTCCTATGGGAAAGTTCAGCTACAGAGGAATATAAAAAATCCAGACCCTGAGGAAGGACTGAGAAATAGAGAAGTATTCTAGGGGAAAATAGAAAAATTATTCTTGAGCCTGACAAAAGAAACTTTCTTGTTCAACAGCTATATTAGGGCAAAGCATAATAAAACCAGCTTTTCCACATTAATATTATTTATCTTAAATGATGATAGTCTGTGATGGGCTGAAAATAAAGAAAAGAAGATGCTTCCTCATACAATACATGTAGTTAAGCTCTGGAACTCCTTGATGCAGAACATTATGGATACAAAATTTCATATATCTTCAAGGAAAGACTGACAAACTATGGAAGAAAAATCAACTGAGGTTTCCCTAAGGGAAACTACCTCTTCTTAAAAGTCCATTGGGTGCAACTGGTTGTAAGTTAAGAAACTATGAGGTAGGATTGATTACCTTATTCTTATCCTCTACCCTAGGCATCCACACTTTCCCAGTGTCAGAAACAGGATTTTAGACCAGGCAGACCTTTGTTCAGGCAAGGAGAGCTATTCTTATGCTGTCATTACAGTATTTTCTTATTTTGACACCTTATAATTTATCCCTAGGTATCACAAAGTCACAGAATGGATAAGATTGGAAGGTAGCACGGTGAGTCATCCAATGCAACCTCCCTGCTCAAGCAGGGTCATCCTAGAACACATGGCTCACAGGACTGAGTCCAGATAGTTCTTGAATATCTTCAGCAAGAGAGACCCCACAGCCTCTCTGGGTGATCTGTTCCAGTGTGTGGTCACCTGCACAGTAAAGAAGTTTTTCCTCATATTTGGGTGGAACTTCCTGTTCATCAGCTTCTGCCTGTTGCCTCTTGCCTCATTGTTCAGCACCACCAAGAGGAGCCTGGCTCCATCCTCTTGACACCCTCCCTTCAGATACTTACAGACAATGATGAGGTCCCCTCTCAGTCTTCTCAAGGCTGAACAGGCTCAGCTCCCTCAGCCTTTCCTTGTAAGAGAGATGCTCCAATTCCTTATTGTCTTCGTAGCCCTCTGCTGGACCTCTTCTAGGAGCATCACATCTCTCTTGTACTGAGGGGTCCAGAACTGGGCACAGCACTCCAGATGTGGCCTCACCAGGGCTGAGCAGAGGGGTAGGATCCTTTCCCTCGACCTGCTGGCAATGCTCTTCCTAAGACACCCCAGGATACCATTGTCCTTCTTGGCCACAAGGGCACAGTGCTTGCTCATGGACAGCTTGTTGTCCACCAGGACCCCCAGATCGTCCTCCTCAGAGCTGCTTTCCAGCAGGTTAGCCCCCACCCCAGCCTGGTGCACAAATGTCTTGTATTTGAATGGCACTTGATAACACTTCATCTCTACACAGGCATTCTTGGTCTGACAATTAGTTGTTTTGCCTATAGTGTGAGGCAGATGGGTGAATTATTTTGTTCACATCTCTACACAAAGAGACATGCCTATGCAAAATCCTCTCCATGTGTGCAGGCATATGTAAAACAGTCATTCCTCTTCAGATTTAGTACTAACGGAGCAATAAACAAACCAACTCTTTTAAGGTAACTTTGTATATAAAAGTTAATGTTTAAATGTGCGCATTTCTGCTATACCAATAACTTAGACTGCCATAAACAAGTGATGTCTCTCTACAAAATCTTGTGCCTGGGATGATTCTACTCTGTTTTCAAAACCTTCAGATACTTTTTCATATGACTGCATGCACTCCAGGGCTTAGATCTGTGAGTCACAGTAATCTCCAGATGTCTTAGGGAAGTCCACACATCTTTTCCAAAACCTGAGTTAGCTACTTTAAGGTCAGGGAGGGTTTCTTTACACAGTACTGTAAAATGTGGTTTATGTATATCCTAGTAAGTGAACCCTGGCTCAGACTTAGTGTTCCATGTTGGCCAAGGGAAAAAGTGTCAAAATTATGCTAAAACAAAAACACCCTCTGAATCTGGCATCAGAAACAAGCTGTGGTTAAACTGTAGTGCTTTACTTAGCTAAAAAATTATAATTATTACTTCTTATAGACAACAACTGTGTCTACAGGATGAAGAGGCCTCAAAATCATAGGAGTCATTGGTCCATTATCCAGCTTTAAAAGTCACGTTGCCACTTCTTTTCCCGTGTTGCACACATACCCCTATTTCTTATGCTAGATCTTCAGCTAGTCTGTGACCAGTCTGTTTCACTGGGTAGCAGCACTTGTACTATTCTAAACCAAACTTAAGAAACGTGGCTATATTTTCCCTGGCTTACACTGCCATTGCAATTTAAACCAGAAGAGTTTAACCACATACATATCCTTGAATTGCTTGGCTTTTAAAGTCTAATCATAGGCCCTTGCTTTCTTCACAGCTGAGGTTTCCATGTAATTGGAATGAAGGATGTTGGAACTGAGCACAGGTTTCCCAATGGCAGCTGCCAGTAGTTGGATAATGCCACTGACATCACTGCTTCCAAAGGAGAAAAATAGTCTTTTCAGTAATGTTTTGAGTTCAGAATCAAGAGTTCTGGGTTCAGTTTCTGGCTCTGCCACAGACTTCTAACAATCTTACTTTCTTTCTGCATGTTTCCGAGTAGAGATGGGAATAATACTGTATTCTGTCTTTCCCATTAAAAGTATTAACTCTTTGTGTGGTGCATCACCCCATCTATGTGGGATATTCCACATGTGACAATAAGGCACAGACAGCACAGTTCCTGCAGCCTTTGTGGGATTCTACAGGAAAAAGGCACGTGATGAATAAGCAGACTTGTCCCTCCTACTTGGCTGAGCTTTCCTGCATATATATATATATATATATATATATATATATATAAAACTGTCCCCTCCAACCATGGATTTTTAAGTTCTGTGAATGAGATTTTGGTGGTGATGGCACACAGGGGAGGAGATACAACACAAGATCAGCAGGAGGATATACAACACAAGATCAGCAGGAGACCCACACGTTCTGAGTAACTGAAGCTAAAAGCATTTAAAATAGGCTATGACACCTTTTAAGGTGCCCAGATTGCGGGTACTGTGACAATCAAGACAACAAAGCCTTTGTAAAAGGAAAGGAAATCTTCCTAATTTGGTTCCTTGGGATAGCAATTAGCAAAGTGCCATGTTTCATAATAGGCAGATTCATAGTTCTTACCTGGGTGACTAATGCAGAACTGTGTGTGACTTTTAGGTCGGTTAAAGTTCTTCCTTTTTGGCCATTACATGAAAGAGGACAATTTTTCTGGTTTCCCAAGGGTTCCTAAATCTCACAAGTGTGGTCTGTCTGTCCATCTCTGCTTGGATCCCAACTTTTGAATACATTGATGACTTTCAACTATGTTCTACCTACAACCATAGAGAAGAGAAGCAAACATAATTCATAATTACTTTCCTATGGGATAAATAAAACCATTTTTATTGGTAGAGCTCTACGCTCTACCGAGCAGAATTACTCCACTGAGGGAAAAGCAGGTAAAACTCATCCATTTTCGCCTTCCAGTAGGTAGCTCAGCATGGATGCTGTCTGAATTGTCTTCATTCATCTCATCCAGAGACCACTGGAAAAGTAGGAGGCAATACGGGAAAATATTTGAGGCATTTCTATTTTGAGCAGAGTGTTGAATTCTTTTCCACTGATGTCAGTTCTAATATTGCATGATTATATTTTGAAGATACTAAGATAACTGTGTATATTTCCAAAGTGTATTTTCAAATCTCTCTTTCTTGTTTTAGAAAAAAAAAAATAAAATGGAGCACATATTACTGCTATTCATATTTTTCATACCTCTACTGGGTCTCAGTAATGGAACAGAAACTGAACAAGATTTTACTTGGCACTTAAAGAAGATTCCCCAGATTGTGAGAGAAAGAACTTTCTCCCTTGACAGCCCTAAATTTGAAGCAAAAACCAAATTAGAGCTGAACAGTGTATGTGGAATTGAGTGTCAAAGAAAACTGCCATTGCCAAGCTTGTCTGATTTGAAGGACCTCTTATCCTATGAGACTGTTTTTGAAAATGGCACACGGACCCTGACTGAAGTGAATGTCCTCGGAGAAGTGCTTGACCCAGCTGGAAACACAACCACACAAAGGTCTTTGAGAAGGAAGAGGCAGATCTATGGAACGGACAGTAGGTTCAGCATCTATGACAAGCGGTTTATGACCAACTTTCCGTTCAACACAGCTGTGAAGGTCTCCACTGGCTGCAGTGGTGTTCTCATTTCCCCCAAGCACGTGCTGACAGCAGCCCACTGTCTGCACAACGGCAAGGATTATGTCAAGGGCAGCAAAAGACTGAGGGTTGGCCTAATGAAGACAAAATCCAGAGGCAATGGCAGGAAACACAAAGGTGCTAAAAGAAGTAGGAGAGAAGTTTCTGCGGCCAAAGAGGATCCCAAAGTTGCCACAGAACAAAGGCAACAATCCAAAGGTGACAGAAAAAGGCAAAGGAGGCCTGGGAGGAAACAAGAGACCTCAGATGGCATGCCCTCCTTCCAGTGGACCAGAGTGAAGAGTACCCACATCCCAAAAGGCTGGTTTAAGGGCGTTTCTGGGGATATTGCCCTGGATTATGATTATGCTGTTCTGGAGCTCAAGCGTCCCCACAAAAGGAAATACATGGAGCTGGGAATCAGCCCAACAATCAAAATGATGCCTGGGAGCATGATCCACTTCTCAGGTTTTGACAATGATCGGTCTGGGCAGCTGGTCTATAGATTTTGTAGCATATCTGATGAGTCCAATGATCTCTTTTATCAGTACTGTGATGCTGAGCCTGGCTCCACTGGATCTGGCATCTATCTCCGTCTTAAGGAGCCGAACAAAAAGAAGTGGAAACGCAAGATCATTGCTGTTTACTCAGGCCATCAGTGGGTGGATATCAATGGTGAACAGCAGGATTACAATGTGGCAGTAAGAATTACGCCTCTCAAATATGCCCAGATTTGCTTCTGGATACACGGGAATGATGAGAATTGCACGCAAGGCTGAAGAGAGCTGAATCTCACTTGCTTAGCACCTGTACTGCCATTGACGGAAAGTCAGCTGCAGCAGTTACTGGAAGAACATCACTCCATGTCAGAATATTTCTGAACTCAGAGCTCACAAGTAATGGTATGGTAACTTAAGGAATGCTGAAATGCTGGGGGATGGGTAGAATTGTCAGACAAAATATTTCTAATTGTACTCAACCCTAGATATGCACCTAAAATCCCAAACTATATTTATGTTTGCAATTGTGATAAACTCAAATCATTCTCATGAGAAAAAAAAATGACTGTACCTGTCATTTTTTTTTTTCCAAATAGAAGGGTTGAAACATCCCCAACTGGTATTATTAAACAATATCTATTTTTTAACAATGGATTTACTTTTCTCAGGGTTCTGTTCCAATTTTTCAAATTCAAGTTGTGCATAGAGCATATTACTGTATGTGCAGAATGATCCAGAGAACTGCATCAGAACAAGACATTATTCTGGCATTCTCTAAAGACCACAGCTCCATGTTGAGAAGCAGCAGTGTAGTTCATGCTTGCTAGTTTGGAAAACTTCCTCTTCTGGTTGCCACAGGAACACTCCCATGGAAATTTCAAATTTATGCAACTGAGGGTTAGACCTTAGACAAGGTTCACTTAATTGCTCAGTAAAAACGGCAAGAAGAAATTAACAAACATAGAAGTTTCCGTGTTTGGAAGAAGAAGAAATATCAGGACATAATTTGATGCCTTTAAATTTTCTTTGAGAAGTTATAGAAGTCTTAAACACAGGCATTTGCATTCCAGTTAGTATTTGGAGAGCTGTAGGTTTAGATTTTAGTCGAATGTTTAGCTTTGCCATTGGGAGAAGTCACTGACTCCTGAAGTGGCTATTTGACAATCATTTAGATCATTTAAATATCACAGACTATATATTTTTTGGGTGCTAAACATCTCTTCAGTTTTTATAAATTACTTTTACCTGAGTTCAGCTTCATAGATAGGATAGCATGTATTAGACTGGGAGTTGGAAATCAGTATTTTAGTTTGGCTTCATACGGTTTTGCGAAGTGGATGGTTTTATTTATGTCATATTCAGACTTCAACTTTCCAAACTAAATTATAGCACCTTCTGAATGGTAGAAATACCCTGTACATTATAACAGGTATCTTGTTAGGTAGCAGCAGTAGTTAGCAAATAATTTGGTTCAATATGCTTACAGAACCATATATTTAATGAAAACAAAAACTGAGCTTGACTTTTACACACCTTGAAACACAAATCACCTACTTAAAAATTGCTGATGATTGCCACACGAGTCTATATCTTTTATTTTATGTCAAGATTCTGAAGCGCACAGAATTGTTATGGTGCTACGTTAATCTAATAACATTAAGTGATACTGTGCCTTTCTGATCATATCCTTTGGGTTGCAATACTTTTAGAGTATTCACCACCATAATATTTAATTTTTTTTACCATAAATTTATTCTGACCAAAATATATTTTCTTCCTTTGTGGAAGAAAAAATATAACAAGATTTAAAAATATTATTTGTTTGTTGGAATCTTTAAAACATGCTTATAATATCTTTTGATGAAATAAGATGATTTTTAATAACCCACTTTTTTTTAGATGATTGAAAGTGTGTAACCTGACACACTGAATGTGCAGGCAACTTTCTTTGTCATATTATTGCCAAAGCATAAAAATTTAAGACTTGCTTCCATATCATAACTCTTAACAATATTTCATTAATTGAAAGAGATCTCACTTTAAAGAAACTATTTCTTTTAATGTCAGCCTTTCCAGGGAACAGGGAACACTTAACTTTTTTTTTTTTTTAATATTTTATTTTGTGTGATTGTTTGCAGAAAATTAATAATAATTTTTATAGTTTAGAAATTAATCTCTAAGATTTTTTTGTTAATTATTTTTTATTGTTGTTAACATCTCTATTAAGATACATGGCTTTGCTGACAGCAATTTTAAATCAGTCCAGTATTTAATACTCTTGTTCTATGCAACAGCCCTACAATATTCTTTAGTCAGCTGTGTAATGTTTTTCTTAAGTGCCTTTTTCCATAGTTACTGGGACAAATAAGGTACCACATCATTAATCTAATACAAGACAACCCAAGTCCATGGATTTTTTTTACAATTATCTTCATTGTTGATTTGGGTCCAAAACTGATCAAGATAAGGTGGCTTAGTAAATTCCATATTTTGCTGAGTTTTATTTAGTTGTGTTCTTTAGGAGCAGAAATATAATGTATTTCTCTATCAGTTTGGGAATTGGAAAAAGGTAAGAATGAAAAATGTTGATGTCAGCTTTCAAATGGTCTTGTTATGATAATCATCTGCTGTAAATATCTCAGCTGTGACCTGAAGTTCTCATACCAGGCTGATAACAAATGTTTATCCCCAGAGGATAAATACTAAATGCTCAGTGCCTCATTTTATGGTGCCAAGAGTTAAAAAAGGTTGTCCAGAACAACATAAAAATTAAGCAAGACTATATTTACATATCTGTATCTGTACAAACCTGTGTGTCTGAGTGCACATGCACAAACACATGCAAATATACAGGTGTGTAGAAAGAACATATGATGTTCTGATTGGGTCAACACCTCCAGGCAAGGGAATGCAGGCACAAGAAGACCCAGACAAAGTGTTATTCCTATTATCTCTGCATGCCAGGCAATATTTCAGTCTGTCACTTGGCCTAATAGAGAAGGAAATGCTTAATGTAGGCATTGTGACTACCTACTACAGGGTCTTCTGGAACAGTTAATAAATTGGAGTACCTACACGCAATCCCAGGAGTTCAGCGTTCTGTGTAGAGCTCTTGGTACCAACCACTGCAAAGAGGTCAAGAATTTCTGAGCCATAACCATCTCATATTTCCTTAAAAACCCTGCAGTTGCTATCTAGTTATCAATGAGAAAATATGAGGAGGGGGTGTTCTTAGCAGATTAGATCCTGCTGTTGTCCAGGACACCAGCATCAAGGCTGGGTTTTGAGCTTGCGATGTTTCCCTAAAGGATTTTTTTCTCTTTTTGGCACCATGCCGTACATAATTTGTTTTCATCAGTACTAATGCTTTTCCATAAGAGTTAGTATAGTTTTAACTGTATTCCTGGCTTTAGGAAAAAAACAAACTCAGTCAAATCTCTTTTCTGCTAGGGGGGCTACTGGAGTCAACAAGTAAATTTTTTTCTGGGCCAAAGACGAATCTCATATACAAGCCATTAACACACCCACACCAGCTTCTGCAAGGTATTTGTGCATGTGTTTCATTTGGGGCTCTGATTTATGAGTCTATATGGAGTATGAATCAGCACGAATATGGCTTAAGTAAAAAAAAAATATTTCATCTACATGTGGAGCAGAGAAGAGGCTGGAGAGTTCTTCCTATTCTGCTGAAAAGGGATGACCTGGCAGCAAACAGCACACAATGCAGAGAGAACAAGAGAAGTAGATGATACGGAAGACTGGGGAGATGGAGGTGGTATGCAAGGGATAAGGAAAGTGTGAAATGTAACAGATGAAATGGCTGCAAGGTAGCAAAGGGACCTATTGTAAGAAAGAGTAGGCAGCTGGTAAAGACTTAACAGTATAAATTAAGATGTGAAATCCTCAAGTTTCATAAACAACCTTTTGCTGTTCAAGATGAGGCTCTTCTTCTCAGCCAACAGCAACAAGGAAAGAGCTGTGAGAGGGCTCAGGTTGTGGCAGGGACCCCCAGCAGGCAGGGGGTTTTGACCTTGTTTACAATCCCTGCCTGAATTCATGGGAATTACACTTCTGTTCATTTGGGATCCTTGGAAAGCAGTAGATCCGTGTTCTGACCTAAAGGTTTGGCAGTGTGAACCTCCCAGTACACTGGATTACCAAGAGTGTAGTGAGTCAAGGGAGTTTCTCAGACCTGACCTTTTGTTGGTATTCCTGTAAAGGCTGTTTCTCATTGCAAAAATAAAACAAAAAAAATCTCTTACTTGAGGCATTTAAATGTTGGCTCCATTTTTTTTGCATGTACCTAGAAATTCTAGCCAATAAATTTTCTTTCAAGTACATTATGTTTGTGTTTGGTATCTTCACAGAAATTAATGAATTGCTTCAAATTTTAAAGGACAGACTATTGCAGATACTTCCATCTACAAATTCCTGGATTACAGAATGACTGAAGAAAAAATGAATAATATTATTACATTGAAATCTTAAAATTTCACTCTAATCTCAAAGGATTTGGAAGTATATTTGGGTCCCTGTTGCACCAGCCTTTTGCTCTGAGTGTCAGAGTATTTAGGTCAAAAACATCCAGAGGTAGCTTTGATGTTTCTTTAATGTTCTTAACTTTTTTAAGACTGACAGAAAATTTTATAATATTTTTAGCTGCACAAGATGACGATTCATTTGAGAAAATAAATGCAAACCTTTACTATGTTATGATATTATATGATGCACTTATTGTGCCAATAAATATGGTTTTTTTTCTTTTCCTCTATCATGATACAGTTTGTTAGCTATGGTTGTATTACACAAACTTCATTCTGTAAATGCCTGTAATATATTATCAGTGAATCATCTGGGATGTGATCCTAGAAGATGCTAATGTCTCTTTAAATTTGTTCTGGGAAAAAGCCTCTCTGTCTTCAAGATAATTACTCCATGAGCAAATTTGATGAGTAAAAACAAAATTAGTTCTGTAAGGAAATGACTCATAGTCTATACCACAACTTATTAATTCTAAAATAAGTAATTAGTTCTGTTTCTGCTATTTGCTATAGTTACACTTTCTACCTCAGAGAGCTGTTGAACCAGGCCAAAGTAGAAGTGTGGAAAATACTATCCTCTTAGTTCTTAGAATTATCTTAAGTCTGTGCCCTTGAAACTGGTGCTGACTTTATCTCCCAGAGTAAAAGGAGAGGTTTTTGGCAAGGGCAAGAGCTGCTGGAAATATTTAATGGAAAGTTAAGAAATTATTACAGACATGATTAACAGTGTGTCTAACACAAGCAATATTTGCCAAGGGTCTGGCAAGGACTTACCCACTAGCTCTTACATGGTTCCTTGCGTGGGGGACAAGTAAGTGTTATGGGGAAATAAATAAGATTGAAAGATTTGTCATCTGGACCAAAGTCCATTTGGTGCTGGAACCAGATCTAAATCTTTTTACTGCTGGAATCTACTTTAGCCACCATCTGAGGGAATGTCTTGGTGCCTGAGAAATGTTTCTCGGCCTCTACCCAGGGAACACAGACAGAGACCCAGAGGTGACAGCTGTGTTCCTCTACAGGCCATTCCCAAGCCACTGGCACGGATGTGGTTTCTTTGATGGAAGATATGTTCTAACATGGGTTATGGATCTCACACACTCATGGGCCCTGGGGGGCTTGAACTGGAATCCTGTCCAAATGTCTGTTCAGCCCTAAAATGTTCCCATACAGCCCAGATCCTTGTGCAGGTGTTTTCCAGTCATACTTCCATTTCCCATTGTCTTTAATACATGCTTCAAAGGGGTTCCCCAAATAGCATACACTCAAATCCACCCAAGAATTAGGACCTTACACTGTTTATGATGTGGGTATTCATGATGAAATATTTATTCCTACTGCTTAGAATATGTCTCTAGACCTTGATAATGGCTAATCCTTCAGCTGTTAATGCTAAGAAAAAATATCAGATATACTGGAAAAGCCACACAAATATTTTACAAAGACTTTGCCTCTTGGTAACTATGTATGCACCATACTTATTACAGTTGCTATGGCTCTACTTCTTTTCCATGTCAAAGAGTTTGAAAACATTGGATGAAACCAAATTGGGCTGGATTTCAGACAAATTGCTCAGCTGCCCTTTGGCTGCAGTTGCAGCATTCTCCCACCCCTCCCCTCCAGTTTAATTTCCAACTTTACGGATGAGGTGCTGGTCGCAGCTTTGCTTAGTCAAGAACAAAATCAGCCAGGGGACAGCACACTGCAAAGGCCCCTTTCTGGCTGTATCTCTCTGCAGACATTTTGAAGCAGGGAGGAGAAGAGGACAAGAGAAAGCAAAGGTGTAGCCCTTGTTCAACAGCAAAAAAAGCACAGTGCCTTACTGAAAGAAAACATGATTTCTATTTTTTCTACTGGGAAAAGCAACCCTGGTTTTTACATTTTACATTCCTTTGCCTTTTCTCGAATGGTTCATCAGCTAAGTATTTCTAGCTCTTGCATAGGAATGAGCCAACCCGTTCAGTGGTGGGATCCAACATGGCCTCAAATGCCAGCAGGGACTTCCCCTCCCCAAAATACACACACAAAACAGGAATGCTAAATTACCCCAAAGGGATTACAAAGGTGGTAAAAAAGAAAAAAAAAAGCAGCAACAGGGAAATTGGGAAAAGAAGTTTATGCATAAAGGCATAAACATATGCAGACTTCATAGCTACGTGTGGCATATGGGTTTTTCTGTCCTGGTTGTCCATGCATCCATCCATTGATGCATTCCAGAGTTATGGTGAGTTATGTGGTGAAAGAAAAAACAGCTGCTGGTTGTCTATCCCACCATCCACCCACAGCAACAGGACTTATTGTGCTACCAAACTCTTTGATGAGTTTGGGCTCAGACCTGATCTTCTTAAATGGTGGACATCAACAGAGGCTTCCAAAGACGTGGCCACTGACATTTTAGGTTTTATACATTTTGCCCCATGTCTACATGGAGGATGTATGATGCCATTTTTAATAAAAGTGAGTTGAAACAATAAGCTCCTGTAATCAAACTCTGCATCACATTCTCCTCTCATTTACAATGCTCAGCCTTGAAGGGAAATTTGACCCGTAGTATATGTATTTACTTGTTACAGAGCATTAGACACAAAGCATTTATGATATGTGAATTTATTTCTTTCACAAAGAAATAAAAAGGAAGCCAATACTCAAAAGGCAAAGTACTTTTTTCAGTGTTTACTTTAGATGTGATACTTTCTTGCTTGTAAAATAGTGATCTGTGATCCAATAATCCTATTTATTCAACTGATGTGCTTGCATCCTTTACTTCTTGAAATTGATTTTTCCCTACTAGTTAAGACTAAATAAAATCAGGCATCTGTGTGAAAACAGTGTTCACATGCCTAAAAAAAAACACAATAAAACCAGCTGCCACTAATTGTATCTCATTATTTCATATCAGCTTTGCCCCCACCCAATGCTCTACTCATTTATCATCAGGGTAATGAAGCACCTGCTCTTGATTTTCTTTTTTGTATTAGAAGATTTGCATACAGACCAATTCTGAACTAGATGATGGTGGAGTAAAATCCTGGCTATCCCTCCTTCATTAATATATGGACTTGATGCTGCAGCTCCCCACAGGGATGGCTGGGAAACGTGTGCCTCAGTCCTACAAGCAACAACCTCCATTTATTCCCTATTCACCTCTGGGTGTTGCTTCAGACTGTTTTCCTTAGTCTCCAAACCACTTTCCATCAGGCATGCACACAGCTGAGGGACGAAGGCAACTGGAGAATCTGTGCCCTGCTCCACTGCACAGACCTCGGAGGAAACGCAGCTGGCATGAGCACAGATCCCCTCCTCCCAGTATCACCATCACTGATGTGCAGGCTCAGACATCCTCTGTTCTGTGAATCTCGTGCTGTGCCTCTCCCCCTACACACATTGCACCCTTCCATCCCATCCCAAACTCTCTCCAGGAAAGGAAGCTCTTTGACTGAGCAGGACAGTGCCAGCCAGGAACCCAGGAAGGAGTTGCACCAGTGGCTTCCTGTAGGTCTCACCTCAGCTCCCCTTGCTCCAGTCTCTTATTCAGTGCCTTGGTTGGCCAGAGCATCTTCACAGTCCCACTGTGCCCACACTTCCTTGGAGCCCTGCCCTTTGGAGCAAGTCTAGTTTCTGTCTCTATGTACAAATGTTTTTAATGTACTGTTTGCAACTTCACCTCATTCTTTCCTGCCTGTCTTGGGTTCTCCCTGTTGCTAATTCCACTTCTTAATTTTTTTAATTGTACCCATTTTGGAGTTTCACCTAATTTTCTACTTTAACAACAAACATCTAAATTAAATTAAATAAAATAATGCCTTACCAATAATCCTCATTGGTATACAATGGGAAACTTGGGTTGCTGTTTAGGAGAAGCCACTTCCAAGTGCTATTGAGGTAACAGCTGCAAACAGAGAATGGAAGGCAAAATCACCAAAAGCAAACATAGCTCTAAAACAACACATGAAATCTGGAGCTAGCCTTGGGAAATGCTTTCGTAAGCTCTGAGTCAGTGTAAGCACAGGCTGCCAGCTGAAGGAAGAA